ATATATATATTATATCTAGGCCTTCTCTTTCTTGGACGGAACTTTGCCATCTGTCCCCGCAAGGATAGCGTACTTATCCTTCCTAGTCAAATTGGTGCACTCAAATCCCAACGTCCCAGCCAAAACCCTTTGAATATAGTTAGCAACTTCAATCGCCGATTTACCTCCTTTGCAAGTCAACTCCGTAGGCAATTGATTCAAGAAAGTAATCTCATAACTTGGCATCGGATTCATGAACACAAAGTAAGGGTCCAAAAGCTTGTGCCCACGAACCGTGGTGCCGAAGAAAACACTTTGTTTGGTGTTTATCGCCACAGGGACAATTCTATCGGTTAACTCGGCGAAAAGAGCACTGAATCTGAGAAGAAAAGGTTCTCTACAAGTAGTCCCTTCAGGGCAAATCACCAAATCTCCTTCTTCGAGAAGGCGTTTGATGTTCGCGGCGTCTCTCTCTCTCTCCCTAGACAATGCCACGGCCTTGATGGGAGATATGATCTCCGTGAACTTGCTTATGCTGTATGTCACGCAGCTTATCTTTCTCCCAAGGGCGACAGCGGTGACAACGGGATCGAGGACCGTGCGGTGGTTGCAGACGAAGAGGACGCCGCTCTGGCCCTTCTTCGGCGCCGGGGGAGGGGTGCCCTTGACGATGACCTTGATTCCCAACAGCTTGTAGTTGTACCAGGCCAGTCTCTCTGGGAGAGGGATGTTGAGGTAGACCCTTAGAATGGAAAGGATTATGCCAATTGGGAGCCACAACAAAGTTAAAAGCGCGATTACTGGGGTTGGTCTTTGCACAAACCGCCCATCATGGAATATCACCGGACTCAGGAGCTTGTTTCTTGGCAGTGGCTCACTCATGGATTTTGGTACCATGTACCCTTCCTGCACTAGTCAAATAAGTTTAGTGTGTGTGTGTGTATATATTAAGCAAGAGACGTCTTATAGTAACAAATACTTATCCTTAATTATTCAGTTATTTTTGGGTTTATGTTGTACCAAGTAGATCAATCATATTATATGAATCCTTAAAAACTGACTAAAATTGAAAAGAATCTTAACATGTATTTTTACTGAACAAGATTAAATTGTTTGGAGAACTCTACATAACTAATAGTCTTTTTTCTTTTTTTTGTTTTTGTTTTTTTGAATTTTGGAGTGGGGGAGTTTGAACTCAACACCTTATAAGTCAAATGTGTGGAATTATTGCTAGACAATGTGTGGTATTAGTTTTTGCTAGAAACCTGGTTAGTTTTAAACCATTATATCATACTAGAGTTATCATTACAATATAAAAACTTAATGAAATATGATAAAAATAGAACAATTCTAAAACTGCACAATAGCATTAATTAGAGTGGTTTTTACGCTACCAAAATGTTATCCTCTTTACACTAATACACTAATTAAATAGAAAATAGACAAGATAATTAGCAGAGAATCTTGACTTTAGGTCCTAATTAGCTTTCTTTTAATTTATAGATTCCCTAATTTGTTTTCTAACTCATGTCAATTTTCATAAGTGCTATGTATGCATGGTGGACCTACTCTGTACTGTTGAAGTTTACCAGAATCGAGTCTGATGGGATCAGTAATATTCTTTTTCTTTTCTGGTGGGCCCTCTATAATAAGCAAATCACATAGGTTTCTTTATATGCTGGGCTTTCTTTTCTACGTGGACAGTTGAAACAAACAATTATGTGGTGAGATCAATAAAAAGCCGCAACAAGTTCATATATGCAAATTGAAAATAAAAAGTCAACGATGAATAGATAGATATACATATGTTTATGTGTGTGAAGTTTTAACCAGTTTTGCATGTGTATTGGTTCCCAACAGGGTCATGAGTTTTGTGATTGGGATCTCATTGGACACGAACATCTTATGTATTGTCAGTTGTCCTACGATGTGCAATAAATGTGAACAGCATGCATTCAGATCAAACTATTAAGCGGTCAAAACCATTAACAAGAGATAACAATAGAACAAACAGGCTATATATATATATATATATATATGTATGTATGTATGTACGAGAGTTTTCATGAAGGGAAACAGTGAAAGAACGATAAGGTGAAAGTATATATAACACTGCATATGGTGGACCATCATAAAATTTATTGACAAAAAAAAAATTCAGACACCACATGCATACAAAAAGATAAAATTAAAAGAGAGGAGTGTTCGTGAAACAAAACATTATTGTCATTAACGCTCTCACCAACCCGAAATTAAATTTACAAGCCAAAATAACGATTCTTTATTTGTACTATTTAGCTTTTGTTGTGATAACTGATAAGAAACAGCTACAAGAAAAACATTCAACAGTTGGTCATGTCACGAGCTCAAAAATGAAAATATTAATAATGCTAATTAAACACACCGACTTTTATTTTCTTAGCAAAATCAAGACACCAACTTATCACAGAAGTTTTGCTTAAAAAGGTCTTGATATAAAACTTTAGCCACCAATTAATTTTTCAGTTGAATTGTCAATTTTCTATTATTTAAGAATAAAAGAAATTATATCCTCTTTCACCCTGTTTTATTCACCTTCGTTATGCACTTTTTCTTTTTTTCTTTTTAGAATTTTCATTTTCTCATAACAAATCTTACTGATTAACATACCTTGCAAAGTGACATAAAATCATGGTCTGTGTCTCTATCACCAAGGCCCAAATCTGGCATGGCTGTCCCGAATTCTTTAACAATAGCTTCTCTCTTGTGTTCTCCAACAAGAACGCCAGGTTTCTTTACAAACCCAGTGGCTCTCCCTGACCTTGTCACTTCCAATTCAGTGCCCAAAACCTTATCAGCTCCCAGGAAGGTCTTTACAAATGGCTCGACCATGATTCTCGGACTGGCAGTGACAATATATCTCTTTCCAAAGGCACTGAACACTCTCCAAGTCTCCGGGTGAACATCCTCAGCATAGAACTTTGGAAGAACCGACCGCGAAACGAGCTCGACGTCTTTAATTCTGAGCCCGGCGAAGGTGATGAAGATGAAGGTCTTGATTGCAACGGCCTCGGAAACGAAAAGGTACGTGAAGTACACAAAGGGTACGGACAAGAGAAGAATAAGGCCTCTTAGGATACTCCCGGCTTCAATGGCAACGAGCATGTAGTACGGAAATGCGCTCGTCGAGACGAGGAGGGTCCCATCAAGGTCGGCAGCCACCGCCTGGTTGGTTCGGCCGTCAGTGCTACATTTTGAGATTGGATCAAACCGGCGGTGAGCCCCCATTGCGAGAAAAATATTGGGAGTAAGAGTGGAAGAAGCAAAGAGAATTGGGAATGAGATAGAGAGAAAGAATTAATGAAATATGATTCTTTTTTTTTTTTTTAAAAATTTTTGTGTTGTGATGTTTTTGGCTTGTGGGAGTGAAGAGTGTATAGGGGCTTTTAAAGCAAGAGGAGATCAGGGATGGCCATGTTGGTGAAGTTTTCTATTACCATGAAAATATTATGTGGTTGAGAGTGAATTGTCAAAAGAATTTTTTTTTTAATTTTATTTTATATGTTTTAATTTCTTTTAATAAAGTTTTTTTTTTAATATTTTTTTACAAGGTTTGTAGAGAGGCAGGGTAAAATTATATATGTAGGAGAGACTTATTTTGCGTGCAAATTAGGGCAGTTGTGAGAGGAGAGGGTCCAGTCCAAATAGTAGTTGGAAGTATAGACCACACCCACATTAACTCATTCAATTGGCCTACTTTTTAGTTTCTAGGCGCCGGCCGCGCCGCTCATTAAAGCTCGGCTTTATATTCCTTATTTTTTTAGTTTGGCTAATCACAATTAGCAATAATTAATATATACGGTTGAATTTCAACTTTCCACGTTAATCTCGTCGATCTAGTTGGGAAAAATGTAGTGAAGTACTAACTTTAATTGCCAAAGTTTGTTCAAAATGTATTGAGATGTATAGAAACAAATGACTTAAATCTCACTCAACTTCACTAAAATATTCCGAAAAAAAATATATGAGAAAAGATATTTGTTGATATTACATATGGAGCTGATCTCTCCTCAGCGGTGTTTTAAGTCCCGTTTAGTTTGCTAATTCGAGTTTTTAATTTGAGTTGAGATGTGATTTTATGTGAAAACTTTTTACTGTAGCAAAAAAGTTAGATGTGACTGTTTCTGAAAGCTTTTTACTGTAACAAAACTTGAATTCTAAATTCGAATCGGTGAAATAAATGAGACTAATTGATATATTATTTTTAACTGAGAGAATAATAGTTCGCTCCTCTGGCAGACATTTAGTTGTAGCCTACAAGGCTATTTTATATTTAACACCTTCTATTTTGAGTTTATAAAAAGAATAACCCTATATTTTGGATATTCTCAAGATTTTATCTTTGGATTTCAATTTGATATCAATTTTGTATTTTTTGGGGGTTAAGGGTTGATTTTGATGCTTGAATTGAAAATTTTAAACTTTTGCAGCTTATAGGTGATGCTCTAACAAAAAAAAAAATGTAAGGTTTAAAAATACGAAGAAAAAAACCATAAAAAATTATATTTTCAAGTTAAGTTGCAAAGTACTATTTGTGATTAGTGTTTCATTATAAGTTTATCTATAAGTTAGAAAGGATAAAACCATCAATATTGAAGCTCAAAATTAGTTATTGACATAAGAAATGTGCAAATTTAAGACCATCTCCAATATAAATGCTAATGCTAATTGTATATTTCGCATCGAAAACTATGATATGATATGTTATTTTCATTTTTGCTCCAACGCATAATGCTATTTGAAATGCTAAATTTATTTTTTCCTATAATTATTAAGCTTTGGAAGTTGTAAAAGTACATTTTTATTTTTAAAATAATTAGAAAATACAAAAGTTCCATTGATTACATGAAAAAAGTTAACATTTCAACCAATAGTAATTAAATGTCAAATTTCTTATATTCTATATTTGGTGGGAAATTTACCACAAAGTATAACATATGAGAAATTTAGCACAACAAATAGCATTGCATTGAAGAGTGTTTTTTACACTCAAATGTTAAATTTACAATTGACACATTAATTATAGCATTGCATTGAAGATGCTTTAATATGGATTTGAAATTCGTAGATAATAGTCTCGAGCACATCCAAAAGCTATAGGATTACCTCTTTAATAAACTAAAATGCATGGTATAAAATCATAAATGTCCCTCACTTATTATTCATGCATTGCATTTAATTTTCATTGTTCGTATAGGAAATATTGTTTTTGGTGAGGTTAGTAGCTTATTGCTTATTAGACGAATTTTTATTGGCAACAATATCGGCTGTGTTTTTAATTATCTCTGAAAAGATTCTCCTAAAATTCATTTAGAGACATAAATATTTTATATTAGACATATTGACTTAACTCACAGCCAAAGACGTAATTAATTCTACAGTTTTTAATCAAGATGAATGTGTGATTCATGAACAAAAGAATCAATTCTCCAAGCACTTGATCAATGAGTTTAAAGTTATTTCTTCTTCTTTTTTCCCCAATTTCGGATTTGAATATTTTATGGTCCAGGTTTTATTCAATTAAGCTTGTTTCGTTCAGTTATGCTTTTGTCTGCTTCATAAATTCACAACGTGAATTAGAGGTGCTAACTCGCTTTAACCATATGAGGGTTTTTTTTTTTTTTTTTTTTTCATTTTAAAACTGAAATCAATCTCTAAATAAAACTACCAAACGCATTTTTAAAAATAATTCAAAAATGAAACTAAAAACGTTTTCATTTTCATTTTCGTACAGAAAATAAAAACGTTTTGGAATCAATTCCAAACGCACCCAATAGTACCACAAAAAGGGTTTCTGGTTAGTTTGATAATTCGACTATCCACGTTTCAGACTACCAAATCAAATCTAGAATTTACTATTAATTTAGTCACAATAATTCATAAAAATCTCGAATTTATCAAATAATTATTATATTAAAGTATCTATAAATTATTAAATAAAATCTAGTAGAGGAGCGAGCCACATATCTAAGGGATCCTCAAAGATAGCCGAGCCAAAAACTAACTTAAATAAAAAAAGGAAAGAAAGAAATACGAATAAATCACGCACACAAAGACGTACGTTAAAAGTGCTTGACTTAATTGAATGCAAGCTAACCAAAGTGGGTGATTTATTTCTGAATGAGTCTAAGCTGATCTATACGTTTCCTTTATACTTTTGACTAAACAACACACTAACACCTCGTTTATTTTACGTATTTGAGTTTAAAATTTAAGTTTTATTATAATAAAAAATTCTAAAAAACAGTCACATCTAACTTTTTTACTACAGTAAAAAGATTTAATATAAAATTACATCTCAACTTGAATTAAAAACTCAGCGAACTAAACAGACTTTTAAGAAATTAAAATTACTTTCTATATAGTATAAATAAATCAACAGAATACCACAAAACTTTCTTATTGCATAAGTTTCCAAAGGGGTGGATATAAACACCAACAAACTCTGGGTCTCTCTACGTCTTAAGAAACAGTTAACTTGAAAGAAATCAAAACCACACATATATACATATAAAATAATATTTGCAAAGTATATATTTTAGAAAAAGGTAATGTTTAGTTGCGGATTTTGTTGTTGAGGTTAGAAAATCCTCTGGCTCTCCACACTTCCACATTTAATAAGATGCTGCAAGGATTGTTATGATCACGTGTTTGCGTTATGTATGTTTGATATTAAATATCCTCAAATACACACAAATTATATATACACTATATTAGAAGGGTGGAAAATTATATAAGTCAATATATATATATATATATATATGTGTATGTACTATGTATGTATGTATACAAACATCTTTGCCGCAATGAGCTGTATGTGTTATGCATTTTTGGACCTTGGTTATCGAATATATTTTTGCAGAAATTATTAGCAAATATTTACAATTTAAAGTGAAATTATAAATAATATTAAACGTGGCCTTAAGTGCATAGTTTGAGCTGGCAGAAACCACATATGGTAGTTAATGTTGACGGTTGCTAGAAATTACCAATAATTCAAAACTTTTACCCTTATTGGCATCATCATATATTATTTTGGAAGAGAGAGAGTCTAGAATATTGTTTGAAGTATTGCCTTTTCATGCCATTTGCTACAATAGTAAAACATTTGTCTGGGCCTATTTTATTTTTGAAAGTAATGTACATAATTGGATGCTTTGAGATATAAATTATGGAAGAGATGATGAGCAAAGAAGGAAATTTGCGGAGAGAATTTTTTTATTTTTTATTTTTTTTCTTACTCTCCTCAGTAAGAGCTCTATATAATCTATAGCAGCGTATTTGTACACAAAAAGACACACACACATGTACACTGCATGTACACAAGGCCAAACTAACGGTACCCGTATAAGAAAATTATTATTATTATTATTTTGAATAAACAAGTCGAAAAAAAGATATTAATGATTGACTGCATATCTTGTAAAGACAAATCTATAATTATACCTATTTGACATGTCTTTGATGACCATAAACACACAAAAATCTGGAGCATTGAACAACGAGCTGGTTTGTTGATGATTGACTGCATATCTTGTAAGACTATCCGTTACTCGATTGCCTTCTTTATAGATGTGGGAAACATGACGAGTGACAGTATCCTTATATAGAAGAGCATTTTCCCATTTAGATCTAAGTTTTCATAGAACACGAAATCTTTTTATTGAGGATAATCTGAACCACATAAGTAGAACCACTTGCGATCACACAGCTTACCACTTAGGATTACGCTTTTGTATACTTTCTCTTTGATTTTGATACACACACATAAGACGAGTTCTCAATGTTTATTTTTTAACCTTAATTACCTATCAAATATAGAAATTTAATAATTTACCGTGACAAGAATCTACTTCCATTAATTATCATTAATATTTTTGTTCAAATATCCAATTTCTTATAACCATCAGATTAATATCTTATGGATAAACGCACTCCAACGTAAGTGTTTATTAGTTTTTCAATAAGAACTGCACTTCCATATAACATGTATGGGTTTAATTCACTGAAAAGAAACATGTATGGTTAATAATATTTTGGATAACCAAATTAATTTCTTGACATTACACTCTTTTAACGTCAGTATAATATTGAATATGTATCATGTTATGTTTTTTAAATATATATATATATATATTACTATCTGATGGATTTACTCGCTTTCTATATGGACTTTCAACCAAGTGGGATCGAGCTTCGAAAAACATATTGGAAAATAAGTTGGCGTCCAAACTTGAGCACATGGGGGGAGGACAAGTTAATTATAAGAAGATAAGAAA